TTGAACTTCCTCTTCTTGTTGGATCTGCTGCCCCTCGGGGTCTGGGCTCCTTCGTCTTCTAGGGGTGTCTGGGCTCTGCCCTCTTTTGGGGTCTGGGCTCCATCTTCCTGGGGTGTCTGGGCTCTGTCCTCCTTCGGAGTCTGGGCTCCATCTTCCTGGGGTGTCTGGGCTCTGTCCTCCTTTGGGGTGTAAGCTCCATCCCTGCTCTGGGGCTGGATTCCACCTTGTCTCTTGGACTTGGCTCCATCCTGCGTGCGGTTCTGAGCCTCATCCCCTCCCTGGCTTGCCGCTTCGTCTTTCCCACTGTCCTTCTGGAGCTGGGGCTCGTCAAAGGAGAGCCGTAGCAGGGGGCAGTTCTTGTCCAGGAGCCCAGGATGGAGCTCCAGCTGGGGCAGCAGGCAGGGGGCCGGCCCAGGCATCCGGGGGCAACCCTGCAGCTGCCGGAGCCTCTGGGCAATCGCCCCTTCCAGCGAGAGTATCTCCGCCTCGCGGCCCAGGCTGAGCACCCGACGGGCGAAGGCGGCCGCCGCCCTGGCCACCTGCTCCCGGCTCTCCAGCTCCCCCAGTCTCTCCCGGGCGGCCTCCTCGGCAGCCTCCACGTGGGCCCGTAGCTGCCCCAGCACCTCCTGCTTCTGGGCCAGGAGGGCCCGGAGGACCCCCTCAGTCACCTCCTCCACCTGGGTCCCCACTTTAGCCGCCTGCTCCCGCAGCCGGGCCAAGGCTTCCTTTTCCACCGTCCGGGCGGCCTCGAGCTCGGCCAAGCTGTTGTCCACACCAGCCAGCAGGTCCTCCAGGCCGGGCCTCCGGGCACGCACGGCCTCGGCCAGTGGCAGGCACGGGTGGTCCAGGTGGGGGTCCAGGCGGCACTCGCGGCACAGCAGCTGGGAGCAGGGCTGGCACAGGAAGCGCAGGGCCTCCCCGGGGTGCTGGGGGCACTGGGCCGCCTGGCGCTCCCGGGCCTCCTCGTCGTACCAGCCCGCCCTGTAGCCCACCAGGTCCACCACCCGGTGGTTGTGGGTCTGCCGGGTACAGCGGTGGCCGTCGGCACATGCCTGGCACAGGTCATCCGCGCAGTCCAGGCACCGGGCCGTGGCCGGGCCCCCGGTGCCCGCCCCCCCGACCAGGGGACACAGCGCACAGGCGGGCTTCCCCGCGCGCAGGTCTCCGCCAGCCCGGGCCCTCACCAGATCCAGGAGCCCATTGACGAAGAAGTTGGTCTTGAAGGCGGCCACGCCCGCGGGCGGCAAGGGCACGGTCTCGCGGCACTCGGGGCAGCGGAGGTGGCCGCCGTCGGCCAGCTGGGCCAGGCAGCCTTGGCAATAGGTGTGCAGGCAGGGCAACGTTTTGGGCGCGCGGAGCTGCTCCAGGCATATTTTACAGGCCAGGAAATCGCTGCTCAGGGCTTCCAGGAGGGAGGGCGAGGATCCCTGGGAAACCATGCTGCAAGCGAGCGGTCGGGTCAGAGTGCAGAGAGGGGCCTCCCCCGCGGCCCCTCCAGCCTGCCATCCTGCCTCTCCGCCCCCCCGCCCCCAATCCTCAAGCCCCTCCAGGTCTGGGGATCTCACCTGAATGGCCAGGAAATCTTCTTCTGGTCTCCCAGGGCCTGTGGCCGCTTGCTCTTAAACTACGTAGCCGCCCAGCTCTGTGCATACATTCAACGAAGGGGCAAAAAGTAACCGCCTGGTGCCTAGTACTGTGAGAAAGGACCCGACCAAGAAGCCCAGCCTTAGGGAGCGGACAGGGTCATGATTAGCACCCCGGGGTTGGCGGGCCTGTAGCAAGTGTGGTTTGAGGCCTGTGTGAGGAGTGCTGAGGTCCAGCCGGGGGGCAGGTGCTGGGGTGGGGGCAGGCAGAGAAGGGACGCAGGGGAGGGTCCAGGTGGGCAGAATCACCTTGACTCCTGGCAGCTTGGGCAGGAAAAGGGGGCCACAGTTCCTGCAGCCCCACACACGGGTCTTCTTCTAGACCCTGGGAGCAGCATCAGGGGTGGTGTGGGCCCTACTTCCTGCCAGACTAACTCAGTAGGGGTTCTGGAGCAGAAGGAAGGAAGGCTGTGGGGAGGGGGCTGCCCTGCTGTCCTTCCAGCTGCTAGACCTCGGGGTCACCAGGCCCCGTGCCTCATCTCCTAGAGGCCTTTCTGCCTGTCCGGCTGCAAGGGGCCTCCGCTTTCCTAGAAGCCTCAGAGTTGTGTGCATCCATCTGTGACTCCCCCCACCCCAGATGCCAGCATAGTGGCAAAATCCTCCAGGAAGAGACTGGCTGTGGGAGGGGGGGTCCCCCCAAACTTCTGGGGAGTGGGGGCCGGAAGGAGAGGCCACAGAGTGAGAGGGGGCTCTTTCCCAGGGCAGGTCAAGCCTCTGGTCCCAGAGCGGGGCGAGGTGCGGTGCTCCCGCCCACCCTCTCCTCTCCTCCCGCCTTCCGGGTCCCTCCCCTCCCCCTCCCTCTTCCTCCCGCTTCCTTCCCCCCACTCCCTCCAGCTCAGCTCCTCCTTCATCTGCCCTCCCCGGCCCTCCTTACCAAGCCTGAGCTGACCTTGGGCTCCAGGACGGGGAGTGGGAGTCCCCCCCGAGGCCTGGACGCGGCTGAGGCTGGGTGCCTGAGAGAGAAACAAAACTGAAACTAATGGTACTTCAACAACTTCCGTCCCCAGCCCGGGACACCGACTTGCTCGGCCTCAGGCCCCGCCTTCTTCCCTACCCCAGCCTGGACCTCTTCCTCGGGACGGGGGACCTCCACCCCTGGTCGCGGGGCCCCTCCTGCAGGCCCCGGGGCTCGGTGGGCCTCCCCGGGTTGGCCTGTCCGGATCTAGTGTCGGATCCGCTCAGCCAGCCAAGTGTGTTTGTCGCGCACACGCAGAGGAACGGCCTGAGGACACTTCCTCTGAGGGGGGAAATTAGAGATCCTCCGTGATCCAGAGCCGAGTCCTGGGGCCAGGTCTCCCGGTGAAGCAGCATAGCTCCAAAGCCAGTCCTAGGTGGGGCCCTTCATGCCACAGACCTTTGCTGAGCCTGGGGAGAGGCATGGCAACCAGATGAGGAGCTTTGGAACTGGCTTAGGGAAGGCTTCCTGGAGGAGGCATCGCTTGAGATGAGTTTGAAGGGCACACAGGAGTTTGGGAGGAAGAACATAGGGAAGAACGTTCTGGGAATCGGGAACAGCAAGTCCGTGGGTATAGAGGAATGAAATACCCCAACCCTTCCCAGTGGCTCCAAGTAATTTGGGATGGTTTATGGGAAGGGGACATGTGTGAGGGGCAGCAGATGAGGTTATAGAGGGAGGCAGTGGCCAGATCGCAGGGGACCTTATGTTCTCCATGAAGGAGTCTGAGTTTTATCCAAAAAGTCAAAAGAGACCAGTGAAGGATATTTCCCCCAATATCTTATGAAAAATCTGAAGCACAGAAAAAGTGGAAGGAATTGCCACAAACACTAATATACCTACCACTTAGGTTCTACAGTTAAGATACAATGGTTGATTTATTCGCCATCTATCCGTGTATGCACCGCTCTGTTCACAGTGACCCCAGGAGAGCTCACTGTGGCAGCAGGGTCCAGGGAGAAAGTGGAGGGGTCTGAGCTGACACGTGGCCGCAGGACAGAGAGAAGGGTGGAGGATGGGATCCTTATTTGGGAGCTATCATTGAAGGCCACGAAGCCACCCACAGCGCTGGTGATGGGCGCTGGGGAGGGAGACGAAGGAAGGAGCGCAGGCTTTGCAGGTCTGGAGGTCAGAAGGGAGGGTGAGGCTGGCGACACCCAGGCTTGTAACCTCTCTATACTCCTCTGTGGTTTTGATGAGTCACTCAACAGTGCCCAAAGTGAGAAGAGCAGAGCTGAGATGGCACTATGGGGGACCAGACACTTAAGGGCCATGGGGGAGGGACTGGGGCGTGAAGGAGGCTGAGCAGTAGCGGTCAGAGAAGTCGGTGGAGATCCAAGAGAGGGACGATCACAGGTGCCATGCCGGGGAATGTTGCGCGTCCAGAAGGTGGAGGTGGTCCGTGAATGCTGCAGACCAGACAGTCCAGCCAACAAAAGGACGTATTGGTACAGGTGTGTCCACAAATGTATGCACACACCTGCACATGCATATGGCCTCCGTGTGTGCTTCTTTGTGCACGCTCAGGAACCATTTGCCAGACAGCATGCCATGCGCTACGGAGCGTACGGAGATAAACAGGATATATTCCTCGCCCAAGAGGAGTTTTCAATCTAACAGCGGAGGTGAGAGTTTTACATGTTGCAATAGCAGACAGCAAGGCAAATGCCAAAATGATCATCACAGTGGCTTCTTTTTATTGGGTATTTAGCATGAGCTTGGCACAGGGTGTCAAAAACACAACCTGGTTTAATCCTCACAATCACCTGTTGGCATAGGTACGTACGGTTATCGCCTCCACTTTACAGATGAGGAAGCTGAGTTACAGAGAGAATAAGTCCATCCGCCCAAGGTCATAGCAAGTGCTATACCAACACGAGAGAGGGAGAGTGTGATTTCTCCCGGAAGGATGGTGGTGGTGTGGGAATCTGGAGGGCTTCATGGAAGAGGCAGCATTATCATGGCCGTCCTACCCTGCCTCGGCAAACATTGAACAGTTGCTTAAAGTGCCTACGGTGTGCAGCCAAGAAGACAGTTTCTTCCCCGGAGAGCAGACTCTTAAGCTAAGGGATAACTCACCTCCAGCCAAGTGATAAACATTACCACAGAGACACACGTGGGAGTGGGGTGTGCAGATTCTCCCTGATGCTGGGGGTTCCTCAAGATAACTCCGGGGTGGGCAGGCAGAACAAAATTAAAAATTACCTGCCTCGATTCCTAGAAGGTCTTAGGGGAACAAGTCATCATTTGTAGGATTTTCATTAAGCAAGTTTGAGCTTTGTTCTGTAGGTGCTTGGAGAGGGTGAGCTGAGCAAGGTTTTTAATCTTATTTATGCAAGTAATAAAGATCATCTAAAGTAAACTTTATTTTTTTTAAAAGATTTTATTTATTTATTTGACAGAGAGAGAGAGACAGCGAGAGAGGGAACACAAGCAGGGGGAGTGGAAGAAGGAGAAGCAGGCTTCCCACGGAGCAGGGAGCCCAATGTGGGGCTCAATCCCGGGACTCCAGGATCATGACCTGAGCCGAAGGCAGACGCTTAACTTCTGAGCCACTCAGGCGCCCCTAAAGTAAATTTTAAAACACTCCTAGCATCATTGTAACAAAATAACTTTTTTCCTGTGCTTATTTCCTTTGGTCTCTGTCCCTATGAAGATATTTTACCTTAATTGTATTCATAGTGTGCTTATACTTTTTGTTTACTTACCTAACTTAATGTTATGTCAACATATTCTGTTGCTTTTTTTTTTTTAAGGTATACTTATTTATTTTGCGGGGGAGGGGCAGAGGCTGGACGCAGGGCTCTATCCCAGGACCCTGAGATCATGACCTAAGCTGAAACTGAGAGTTGGACACTTAACCAACTGAGCCATCCAGGTGCCCCAACATTTGCTGTGTCTCTATACATTCTTTATAGTTATTATTGTTAACGGCTGCATAAATTATATGCTGTAATTTACTTAACTATTTAGAAATATGCCGGTAAGCCAGCTTCCCCCCTTAGCAGATTCCATGATATAAATAATGATGTAAATATTCCCATCAGGGCTGATTTCATGCTACCAATAATTTAGCAACTGGCTGCAAAATTCCCAAAATTTAACAATGAGCTCTCAGGAGCCAGTCGTCTTTGGAAGCTTTTAGAATCTTCTCTTTGTCCCCCGTGTTCTGAATTTCACAGTGAGTACTGTCGTGCTGAGCATTTATTGGGTTCTTTCGGTCTCAAAGCACGTTTCCCTTCAGGTCTGGGAAATTCTCCTATGTTGGGGAGGATTCTCTCCCCTCCGATTTCTCTAATTTCTCCTCTGTTTCCCACTCTGGAACTTCCACCGTTCAGATGCTGGACCTCCCAGAGGGGTCATCCAATTTTATCTTTTCTCTCATTTTCCATTTCTGTCTTTTTGACTACTTTCTGGGAGATTTCTTCAACTTAAGCCTTCTAACCATTGTGTTTTTCAAATTTGCTGTCACAGTTTTAATTCATGAGTATCCTATTTTTTTTTGTATCTGATTTTTACTGCATGGATCCAGTATCTTCTCCTACATTTCTGAGGACATGAATGTGTTGTTGTCACGTGCGTGTACGTGTGTGTGTGTGTGTGTGTGTGTTTCCTTCACTTTGGGTGGTTTCTGT